CATGTTTTAAAGGTTTTGGGACTTCATTGAACCACAACAAAAGTTACTATCTAATAAAAAAAAAAACACACATTGAAAAGACGTGATCCTTCCAACTGAGTCTTTATCTTTCCTAGAATAAAATAAATCTATCAATAACGCAAGCCACAATGAAACTGTATTCAATGCAGTACAGTTTAATAAAACTGCAAAAACCAATGCTTTTCAAAAAGAGCTAACTGGATTGTGTGAATCCTCTTACATCTGGCATTAAATATTATGATCGTATCATGAAGTCCAGCTTCTGTAATCGATGGAGCTGTGAATCCTGACCTCTATAATAAAATCCTGACAGAGAATATGCAGACATTCGCTTGTGTTCTCATATTCAGTGCTCTGGGATTATACTGCATGACAATAATCCAAAGCATGTCAGCAAATCAACATCTGAAGAACTTTTATACAGCCTGCTTCGATTCTAGGCTGAACTACAACTAATGTGCTGCATCATAAACATAAACCGATTGTAAATATGCCTCTGATGTTACTGAAATTAGACAATAAAGAAGATTCCTAACTTGGTTGATATATGAAACATTTAAGCTTTAAGATTTCTCTACAATTTTTGTTCGAGCGTTTTAAGATTAAACAAAGATCGATGTCCTCAAAAAGCTATTTTTGTTTTTCTTCATCAAAGGTAAGTTTAACAAACTTAACTGCAAAAAAATAAACCAAAATGATTTTTTAAATACTAGTAAGAGGAAAACCAGGGATACTTGTGCAAGCATTTTAGAACCAGTGAAAGACTGAACATTCAGATAATACTTTGATTTCATGTGACCAATATTTTTTTTACAGATGGTGTCAGACTTCTGCGGCGTTGCCAGGACCAGATCATCCGTACGGTATCTGATAGGACATTAAACATTGTGGATCACAATGAAAAACATTTCAAACTTTCCTAAAAAGAATCCAACATATTCTTTTTAGGAAGTGAAGGACTGTCTGATCTGATCATCACAGCTCTACAGCCACAAGAAAAGAGGAATATCTAATAAAAGGTTTCCATTCTTCTAGTCGAGCTGAAATTTGCACATTTGTGCACACCATTGAGATATGCATTATTAATATGACCTCATTTCAGTCTGGTTGGTGGCAGTAAATGCACCTTAAGTTGTTTGCCATCCAACAATAAAAAAAAAAACATAAGTAGAGCTGAAATAATTTCTCTTCTTCAGATGTTTAGCAGCTCCAAGCATTTTAAAATATGGTTTCTAAATCTCTAAAATGATTAGTCATCCTCAGATTTAAAGACTATTTTAATGATGTAGCAGAGAAAGTGAAGAAGCCCCAAATGGTAACAACTGCTGCTGCACACTGCCACCCAGCTGGCAAAAAGCAGGCTAGCACACTATTCCCATAATCTGAAAAGGCACCAGGAAGAAATAAGGTTTTTTAGAAATTGTTGACAGTAAAACATGCAGTTCAGCTGCTCCCACTGAGCAGATGGTTTCTGATGCTTCTATAAACCATAGTATCAGAAAAGTGCAAATGAGAAATACAACTAAATTTAGCAGGTGGTAATTAGAATTGGACTTAATTCTGCATCTCTCTTCTTAACAGCAGTTATCTAACTTTAATCTTATTTTAGTGGCTCCAGGAATACCAGCTTTTGTTTATTTAAACACAAGTATTTAGACTTCCTGATATATTTTGCTTAAAGATACATAAGCAAGGCACAAATCAGAAAAGTTTGGCTTGTTTACTTTATCAACAAGTTCAGAACATTGGAATAAATGTCAGGTTCCTTCAACCCTCCTAAGATCCATCAAAAATGTAGAAAATGTTTTTTTTTAAAGAGTAGCAGAGTCCTTTATTCCTTCTCAGTAACATAGAAACACTCTTAGAAATGTTATCCTCTAAAAGGTCAGATCAGAAACATTATCTATACATCTATTATAACAATACCAGAATCTTATCATCAAACATAAAGAGATGAAAGCTGAGCAGATAAACGCTTTTTAAAGGCAAAATAGATTCAGGAAAGCAGAAAAGTAAAGCGTTGCATAATAAACTTGCATAATTTCAACCCAGATGGTGAATGTTAGGTTTTAAGTACTAGAAACATAAGGCTGAATAGCAAAGGCCGGCTTTCAGGATGCACTTACAGCAATTATACAGAGTTTGGCTTCAGCCGTGAAGAAAAGAAATATAAAAATAAAAGAATCTGATTGATACCACAGCAGAATCTAAGGCAAAAAAAATACATTAAACCTTCAACAGGTAAACCAGGACAGGTCTCTGCACTGATGAAGCCTTCCTTTAACCCACCTATGAAAATCCAGTGCCTTAGTCAAATAAAACTGTTTAAAGGCAGTGCAATCATCCCTTTAAAATGTACAAGTTCAGCAAAGATGTCAGTTATCCAGGAAAAAGCGCAGACGTAGGCGAGGATGACGGTAAACGGAGCGGCGCTGGCAGCGGCCTTCCAGGTGTCAGTCACACAGAAATAGACTTCTGTCACTAGAGAGCGAGAGAAAAGCGGAGCGCACATCTTCACAGGGTCAGTGGGCTGTAAGAAGACACCCTGAGCAGCTACGGATGCCGCGGATTCCTTTTCTTCCACTCCAGTCTTTATCTTAGCAGCAGTCCGACCTGAGCAGCCGCACACCTGATGGTTCAGCAGTGGAGGGGAAACCAAATATGGCCGATTTCAACAACATACAGACAGTAAACAGGTAACAGTTTAAAAGATGGATTTCACAACAGTCACGAGGACAGGCTACCTGACTGATGGGCAGGAATAAGTTATCCAGGAAGCAAACCTCTTCTTCATTTACTTTCACATAAAACATTATTTGCAAATTGGCTACAGCCTGGTAACACTTATTAGGAAAATGATTGCATATAAACAGCAGCTAAGAAGGAGCACAACACAGTATAAAGCTTTAAAGGGAGGATTGTTATTCAGAACCTGGGATCCATTAGACAGAAAACTGCAGGGATGAATGTGTCCTTAGCAAATGTTTGTTGTTTTCTGAGAGGCCTCCTTATAACTGTAGAAAAAAAAACATAGAAAAGAGCAACCTTAGTAACCGTATTCATGTGTTAGTTTCTTGATTTCTGTCCTTCCAGCTTTGGTGACGTTATGTGCGAATTTTCCTCTTGTCCTCAAACAGCGAGCGGACCAGATAGACCTGGACCGCCGACACCACCATCATCACCACGAGGTTGACCACCGACCAAAAGTTCACCCTCTCAAAGTTGCTTTCCTGGATGTTCCGGTCGCGGGCCTCGAACGCCCGCAGCAGCGTCTGGATCTGCACACTTTTCCCCAGGCGGGACTTCACGTTGTTGATGGTGTCCTAGAGGACAGAATGGCAGAATATATATAAAAAACAGAGCTTTCACTGCACCTTTAAAAAAAAACTGTTAGG